CGTATTCAATCGTAATATTACGAAAAACTTTGCATGTTCTGAGTAGGATCATAAACAGCAGTTAGACGTACAGATAGACATATCTTTTTTGTATGATGATATGATTTATCTGCATCTTGACATAAAATTGCTTGCTAATTATAAAATAATTATATACACCTACACATTCACAATATGATGTATATAATGTGTATAATTCTTCAACTATTATGAATACTAATAATGAAGCTATGCAAAAATAGTATACAATCTATGTCTGTAGCATAAATGTTTAAACCCAATGATATAACGTCCATACATTTATTGTATATTTATTGTATTGTTCTATAATTATAAAACAACATAAATTACAAGACTTTCTTACAAATTTAGTAATCTAATTTCTTTTGATAAAAGAAAATAAAGTATTTATTATGTTCGATAATTATACATTAGAAATGCTTGGGGAAATTTTGGATTTACTCTGAAAATATTTTTTTCGTAATGAACAGATTTAGCAATCATATGACTCGTAAAAAATGACATCGCACTAATTAACTATCGTGTCGCGATAACGCATTGATTCGTTACATTTTGTCGTATAATAATTATCAGCCATTAACTTGCGAAACGATCGGCGATCAAAAAAGGTAGAACCGTAAAAAGTTCACAACTTCGCAAGTGCCAGAAGTGCAGATATTTCAATCTCTCTTTTTGCGAAATAAGCATTCTAGAACAAACAAAATTTTTTAAAGCCGACCATAGGCGGTAGCGGCGACGGGGGCGGGCAAGCTGCGCCGACATTCCGGGAATACTGAGAATAACGTTCACCAGGCAATAAAGAGATAATGCCGAGCTTTGAGAAAAGAAGAGAACGTCCCTCGGTAAGTTCTTAACGGGACGTTCTGCCGTTCTGAGAACCTTCTATCCCTGAACGAGGCAATTACAGGCCGTGGTTTACCGGTCGCGTTTACACCGTAGCCTGCTTCTGCCGTATAGGCTAAGCCCCCGTACGATCGTAAACTTAGCAGACGGGATTCAACCTCTTTGGCATTGGCGTTCGATATCTCGAGCTGCTCTCGCGTCCCGACCACACCGTGAAACCCGGTTGACCTCTTTCGTAGTATCAGTAAAAGTAATACCGCGGGAAAGAAGGGGAGAGGGAGGAGGGGTTGAGAGAAGAGGTAAAGGATACATGAGAGATCTATCGCGTTAGGGGAAGTAGATGCTTTCAATAATGGCTTTCCTAAGGTCCCACGTGCGTGTTGTTTCTTATATTGCTGTCGGGATCGTATCCGATTGTCATTCGATGTCGCAAACGGAATAATCATTACATCGTGCGCTGATCGTTTTTGGATGAATACCTACCTAACTCTTCAACACTGCTCATTCTTTATACTCCAATCATGACTGCAAACGAGCAGGAGTTATGCGTAATTGTGTACCACTGATTGATAACAAAATAAATGCCTCAATAAGGTACGGCAGCTAATATTTCCCGAAACATTTCCCTGATCACGGAGTATTTTATTGTAATTTTACAACATTGTGACTAATATTTGACGCATAGTAATATCTATGAATATAGCATCCCATTTTCAGAATTTTGATTTAATATATAATTGATAGAGTTTTAAATTAAGCGCAATTAAGGAAAATTGTTACGTCGATTAAAACAGCTTGTAATATAGTGGACGTTGTATATGTATATCTAAATTATACTTATTAAACTTCTCTACACAATTTTGAATTTTATATTTGCTAAGAGTAATTAATCTCCTGATGTAAACAGAATTAACATCAACAACTTATAGCAAACGTAATCTAAAAATTCACAGTATAAAACTCGTTAGCTCAAGCCAATTATAATTGAGCTTTCGTAGTAAACTGTTTTTAAACTACTTTTTTATATTACATATTTTTTATATTATACAGCAATATGTAAGAATTTCATATATTTAATACTCTGTGTCATTATAAATTTACATTCTGAATCAAGAAAGACATGTAATAATTAATATTCAGGAGTTATCGCCGTAGCTGCGATTATTAACGCTTGAACCAGTTTTCTTAGACCTCTCAACAGGTTATACAATTAAATAAAGTTTAAAGTTTGTCATTTTTTTTGTCTCACAGCAAATGCAAAGCCATTGACGTTCGATGAAGTTTACAATCAAAGTAGTCCGACCAACTGCACGGTATACTGCGGCGGTTTGACCAATGGTTTAACAGAAGAACTCATGCAGAAAACTTTCTCACCCTTCGGATCCATCCAAGAAATTCGAGTATTTAAGGACAAAGGTTATGCTTTTATCAGGTAAATATGTGTATAATATTTATGTTAAAATGTTATAATATTTTTATTAAAATATGTTTGCAATATATAAATATTTCAAGCCCATTGGTACTTAAATCGATATTATTGAGGAAATTACTCCAGATAACAGACATTAGTAATTTGGACAATAGATTTTGGTTATTCATTGATTACTATTAAAATCATTAATTGACGTTTTCGAAACATGAAAATGATAATCTAATGTCACAAATAAGTGACATTATATGATAAAATAATGATATATATATACCAAAAAGGTAAAGAGAAAAATTTACTGCCATCCATTTACCAGTGTTCAATTTCTATGATCGTATATATTTTGTGATTATCTATGAATATTTAACATTAATCTTTAAGTAGACGGAGTACTCAGGACACCCTAAAAGAATTTTATTTTTAGTCATATTTTTAATAATATTTTTAATAATGTATAAAGCTGAATTTATTTTAATATTACACTCTTATGAAATAGATTAGAAGATAGAAGGATGTAAGAGTAATGAACTTTAAAACTTCTGAACAATATACTTTTTATTTTCCTTTCTCAAAACAAGATCTTTAAGATTATGCGTGGGATGCTGTAACCGCCTATTTAAAAGTTAATGAAAATATACTTATGACAGAACAATTTAATAATTATTGTCAAAAAGATGAAACATACAGTTAAAATTTTTTTTTCATAAATAAATACAAAATATAATTTTCATCAATTTTTACATGTGCAAAAAGCATCTATATTTTTTTTACACTTGTTTAAAGAAAGCGCGTCTAAAAAAAGAACTAAGATATTAATTAATATTCAATTAATATTTAGACAGCATGCATTCAAAATCGGAACATAAGACGTGTGAAGATGTCTTAAAGTTATCTTAAATGATGTTTAAAATATGTTTTAATTTATGTTTTTATGACGTCTTATGTCTCGATTTTGAACATAGGATACTTATTTAATTATAATTATTTATTTAATTAAAACAATGATAATTAATAATCATTAAATATGACAAAATAATATTTTTCTGTTATGTCATCAGGAATATCATATTTGTTTTATGTCATTATTTAGTTGACTAATCGAAAAATATAAATAGTCTTAAATTGATATTATTACGATGACGCTTGCTACGCAGCAGTTAATCACGATTGCACACAAAATTCCGTTGGAACGAACTTTGTTTGCAAATTATTACATTTAAGACGAATTTTAAAATACATTCAATAAAACGATAAATAAGAATAAGGAAACGATTATTAAAAGAAAAACTTATATTTTTAAGTTTTAATATCAATATAAAGATAGTCGAATAATGATAAATAACTGAAATAACTGTTATTTTTTTGTTATTTAATGTCATTAGTACAAACATGTCTAGTATTTGATGTCGAAATGATGTGTGCTTGCTGCCTAGGCTTTCAAAAGAAAAGAATGTTAGATAACGTTTGCTAACTAAGTTACACTCATTAAATTTAACTTTAAATTTGACTTAAATATAAACTTATATTTTTATAAAAACAGTGTGCTTGTGCATGAATATACATAATTATTAATTGTAAGTTGTAATTTTTTGTGACAATTAAATAATCAATTAAAACATTTTATAATAAAATCGATTAAACATAGAATATTATCACGAGCGAAATATGTATAATTATTTTGTTTCGTTATACCTTTTGTAATGGTGTCATAGAGAATAATAAATCTGTTCTAATTATTCTTTTTTTATTATAAAATTAGTATGATATTTGCGGATTTGTAGTTCACAGTTTACATTGATTATTCATTAATTTTTTTGCGCAGACTAATATAATTTTACGAAAATAGTTTAGTTAAAATTGACTGACATTGTTCTTCTTAATTCAAAATCAATCTTCTTTTAGATACAATTCTAAAATAAAAATATGCACAGACTTCTTACTAGTTTATTTAGTAGTCTACTTCAAACAGTCTGAAACAATATGTTTAAAATAACTTCAAATATTCATCTGTTTTTGTTACATAAGAAATATATGCAAATTTTACTCCTCTACCACAAGTTTTTCTTTTAATAAATGAATGTAAAATTCGCGAATTATTTTTCTATATCTTAATGAATTGTCGTAATTAAAAGTCGTTTTATTCTATCACCATTTAAATTACAAAATGATTTATCGATCACCAGACTCCACAAAGAACACTTAAGGCCAATTCTCGTGAAGAATTAAACGGAATTAAACGGAACTTTAGTATGAAACCCTTGAAACCATTTCACTGATTATATAATCAAAGTTCGTTAATTACCGAAGCTTTTTATTACCTTATAAAAAAGTAAAATCTAGGACAAAAATTTAATATATTATTGTCATACGTTATTTTAAATTAAGTCAAACTTTAATTTACGTATTCCTGGAATTAGGTATTCCTGGATGATACGTTATAATAATGCATAACTTTTTATTTATTTTTGATGCTTGAAATATTCAAGTATTCAATTCATTTGCATAATAATATAATAAACATTTTCAAAATTTAACAAAAATGTATAATTATTTTCAATCAATTTTTTCTAAACTGAACGTATTGTATTTTTAAACTATTTTATATAAAATAAAGTAGTAATGATAAATAAATATATACAAATTTTTATTTTGAAAGATATTATAATTTCTATAATCAATTATAAGAAAAATTATGTCGTCCTTGTTGAAAAATCTATTATTTAACCAATCACCAACTCCCTGAAGCCATTAGTGTCATTATACTAGATTACTATACATATATGTAGTACATATATGTATTATGCATGGCTGATGATATGCTTGCATTGACTCTCCGGATAAATTTATTACAAAATCGAACAATCTGGCCTAAAGCTAATCAGGTAAAATCATCGTGTGTGTTCAGAGAATACATTTGCATAAAGTGATTGGATTTGGAGCGCGTAACATAATGATTATAGCGAGACTTGAGAAAATTTTATACTCAAAATCATCGGCAATGATTGGTATCACCGTAATACGAATCATCAAATGAGATTTTACGAAATATTAGAAAATCGCATGAATGCATCAATACCCCGCTTGTGATTTATGGCACGAAACGCGAGGACATGTCGGATCAATGGCAGCATGTCGGACTCATCAAGCTCGAATCGTGGCCATTTCATTAATCTACCCATTACATTCGCACAGATCATATATTTCAGTTCAACTTCCCAAATCGATAAAATCAACTTTATTTATGTTTCAAAAACATTCATAAAGAATTATTAAATTTTTTAACGAAAGTCACATTTCGTGAACATGAATAATTTCACCTATACAAATAGAAATTAATTATCACAATCAAAAATTGGAAATTTTGTTATATTAAAAATCGTTTCCATATCGATATTTTCTAACCATAAACTATGAAACATAACAGTTCAAGAAATCAGCTGAACATTTATATCTGCCGAAAGCGAATTCAGTGCTCTGCCTTAACGACGATGAAAGATCCGTGACCTACCTCAGAAAAGACCACCGAGAGAATGGAAGATATGCTCTAGAACGAGCGGTGAGAGAGAGAGAGAGAGAGAGAGAGAGAGAGAGAGAAAGGCAGAAGGCTAGAGGGAAGCAGGAAACGGAAGAGAAAGGCACAAAAAACTCTTACATATCTTCTTCTTTCTATCCTTTATCCTCTCTCGCGTCCGCTCGATATCCTTGTCTATCCTTATCCGATACGATGGCCTCTATCGTTTCGTATGTCTGCCACAGTTCTGCCACCCCTGAACAATGTCCGTCGTTCAAATATCTTCCGTCTAATTGCTCTTCCTCTCTCCGTTCTTCCATAGCGTGGAACCCGGAAACGAATATCTCGGGATGACGTATGGACTTACTACGAGGTACAGCGAGAAAGCAAGACGGGAGGATGGATAAGGGAAGGAGGTCTTTTCTTCTCGGGTGAAAGAAAGAATCTTATCTGCCGCTGGTTATCACTCGAGGTACGGACTTAGAGAGGGGGGTTGCTGACGATGACCATCGTTCCTACTCAACGATCGTGGATGGAAGCTCGATGGATGGGAAGGGGCAAACTCACGGACGAAGTTGCTATTGTGCAATCTCGAACGCGAACGTTTAAAAGTGACCTAATCTTCGATAAATTCAATAATTCCCTCTGCTATCCTGCCGCCAAATTTCTCTTGCTTTAATCAGATTCTCGGAAATTTTAGTCCTTCGGTGTAAAGTGATCAAATAATTGAAAAATGATAGACCTCGTACATTGAATAATTAAAGAGCGCTGTGTAAACTTAATATGCTTGTACTTATATAAGTTTATATAATGAAAAGTACAAATCTTAAAGTGAGAAACACGATACAAAAGTATTATCAGGCAAATTCATGATTGAAATATTTTGTTCTTTTTCTCATACATTTCTAATTTTTTAAATATTATTAGAAAAACATGATATTAAAGCACAAACCTTCCGTATCATGTATTGAATATGTTACTTGTTCATCCAAAATAATATTATTCTAAACTAGAAACTGAATTCGCATAACCAGTGTGTAGAATTTAACATTGGATGTCTATCTGGAGTAATCTAGATTCGTCGAGATTCACAATTACCGTGCCCATTCATGCGTACTGTAAACTCGCATAAATTAAACTGCACTAGTCATAGAGATCATTTCGTTAAGCTACTATAATAAGGTCCAGTTGAACTTGTGGAAAGAGTGCTGTATTGCTCCGAGGATTTTTCTTTTTGTACACATCATTGCACTGCACCAACATCAACATTGACATCGAAAGACATGTACTAACAAAAGACTTGAATCCCCTTCCTTTTCGATTTCAGGTTTTCTACTAAGGAGTCGGCTACGCACGCCATCGTAGCGGTACACAACACAGATATCAACGGCCAAACGGTGAAGTGCAGTTGGGGCAAGGAGAGTGGAGATCCTAATAATGCTCAACAAACTGGACAGGTAAACGCTTCTCTATCTTTTCCTTTTATTCGCTCTACCAGGAGGACGGTTTCAACGTGAAATTTCGCCCTCCGAAATGTTCTTCACCAACATTTACATCGTTGCTCGTATCAAACTAGAGAACTTTTCTACTTTATTTCATAAATAAACATATGTCGCCGATTTTTCTTGAGATAATTTTCCAATATGAAAAAAATAGTGATTTTATGTGCATCAGTGAATCTGAATCACAAACGACTATATTGCAGAAAGTTAGAATTGAAAGGAAATAATATATGTTGATATTAATATCACAAATCTAATCTCCAATGTCTCTGCGTTTGTCAAAGCAATGAATGCAGAGCGACAGATTCTTCTACATATAAAACTCAAGCTTGCTGTTCTTATACGTGTCACTGAAACTGAATAATGAATATTCGTCTCAAAGAAGCAAGAACGTTCAAAAAAGGAAATAGTTATCAGATTCGATCACGTTCGGTTCCTTCCGGTTTCGCGCGACTAAAGTATCTCTATATATCTGTATATGGCCTGAAAGTCCGGCGAAAGAGTAAAGGCGGAAACGGAGAGAGGACAGGGAATCGGGCAAGATTCCGGTCTATTCAGGTGCCTCTCTTCGAAGTGTGTCGGGTCGGGTCTCTTAGCAATTAGCTCCGTTAGGATGGGTAGGTACGCCCGATCTGGGAATGGTACTCGAAGTACTTCCCAAACCCTCTCGCACTCCCCGATAGTACTTCCGTGCATCCATCCACTGCTACTCGGCCCGTGACATCGCTCTAATTGATCTCTATTCCCATAACGCGCTTCTCCCAGGGGAGCCGAGATATCACGTTAGTACGTATCCTGCCATACCCTGTTCTCGTATTCAACGGAATCGAACTAGTTTGCGTGATATCCCGGTTCATCGTACTGCTTTAATGAAGAGCATAATAGCTGCACATTATTTCCGTAACTTCTTATTATTAGAAATAAAACTATCGAAAAATCAGTGCGGTTTAAGTATCTACTCTAATAATGATACTATTATTTTTCTCAAAATTGTTTTCTCCCGTTTAATATCACAAAGCTTTGGAACAAAAATTTCAATGTTATTCAGATATTATTAGATATTATTCGGCAAAGAAATGATTGTATAAGTGGAAAAGGAATATATTCTTTTGTTTCATAAATAAAATAATTGTGCACACACAAAAAAAACAAACCATATATTTTAGTAAATATTATTTCATGATAATTTGGTAGAATAATTTGATCTGATTTCACATTGTGCACCGTAAAAGAATGAATGAGTTCACGCGAGGAATAGCGAAATAATAAAAAATAATTTACGTGACGGCAATGAAATGATCGCGTTGAAATTCTCGCGTCGCCCATTTCAAGTGAACGACCACACAAATCTTCGACGGAACGAAATTACCATTCCTGACCCTATCGACATCGTTAAGCATAAAATCCAGACAATGTTCTTGCTCTTTTCTATTTCATTGATCTTTGTGCTCTTTCAGGCGTTATCGTCGGCGACGTACCCATACTACGCGGCGGCGGCAGCTGCCGCCGCGGCGGCGGCGGGCGTCGCGGGTGTCGGAGGCGTTGGTGGCGTCGGCGGTGCTGGACAACTAGGATACTGGTATCCGCCCCAATCTTATCCCACGACAGCGACACAAATGCAAGCTGGTGGCTTTCTTCAAGGCATGCAGGGATATACCTATGGACAGTTCGCCGGATATCAACAGGCGCAATATATGGGGTAAGCTTTTCACACGAGATAAAGTTCCTTTTTCCAGAAAACCAAGTTTTTGACGACGAAATTTTCAATAATCGGAGATTTAAATGTAACATGAATATATAATCCCTCCATCTTTTTGCAGTATCAATGGATTGTAAACCAAGTCGGAAATTTTAAATCTATATAACTTTAAAATTCATATTAAAGAGTTTACATTAAGGACATTAGGAACATAATTATTCATATAGTTATTTTAAGAATATATAGCTCGAATTTTGTATATTAATATTAAATAATATTTTAATTCATATATTTATATTATTATTTTTAATAAATTTATCTAATTGCCACACACAATAACATGAATACAGTATTTAGATAACTTTTAAACACATTTATCAGTTAACTGTTACAAAAAATATCAATAATACAAATAATACAAATAATATTACGTAATATGTGACATGAGGAACATTAATATTATACCAAGTAGAATGCGAATCTTAATATTTGTAGAAAAGAAGGTGGTATTATAGCCCTATTTACATTTCATACTGCAATAACTTGATAATAATCAGTATTTAAATTTAAAACTTAACAATTGCATTTGTTAAAGTGTTGTTGATTCTAGACTCAAAGTTACGAAAATATTTATTATTTAGGATATTATTTATAAAAATGTAGTAACACTGCATAATGACTCAAAACAAGGATATTAATGTGGTCTTCCACAAAAATAAATTTTAAAAAATTGGTTTTGTTTAAAAAAATGTTCGATTACAAAATTTAAAAAAAAATAAAATATTACAGAATATAAGCAGATATATATAACATACATATAATTTTTCCCGCATATAGGCTTAGTACAGTATTAAAAAATTATAATACATATAACATAAACTATATGAATTAACAATAGAGTTACAATCGATTTACGAAATAATTATTTCGATATGAAAAGCGCTCGAGGCATTCGACACGTTTAGAGGGCCACATTAGCAAAATGCCATGCTATTGTTTAATTTTGCTCAATAACTCAAAGTATATACAATTAAATAATATGTAAATAACAAACAATACATATATTCATGTGTGATAATACGTTCTAGTTTATGAAGAATGAAGTATGTGTAATTAAATACTAAAATATACTTTAAAAACGTTTCTAAATGTTTAAAAGTGAAAATGCGTTATAATAAATGTTAACTACTGTGTACTGGCATGTCACGACGGCGAGCTACCGAACAAATAAGTTTATCATCAGTAATCACTAGAATTCACCACCTAATAACAGAAATATTAAGCGGCCATTATATCTACACTGGCTATGATACCACTTTCTCTTCTACTGCTCTATAAAATTATATGATTTGACGATTATATATATATTTTTTACGTACAAACACAGAATGGGAATGGGTGCTGTTCATGCTGCTGGCACAGCGGCAGGATGGGGTCAGGGATTACCTGGGGGACCACAGTTACCACCACACCACGCCACGACGGTCACGGCACCCCCAGGGGTACAAGCCGCACCCCCGCCACCACCGCCACCGGCACAAATGATGGCCTACCCGATGCAACAGTTCCAGGTAACCATTACTTTATCTATCCCATCTGTATACGCGTGCAAGTGTACGCCGTATTCGTTTGTGTGATGTTCGTTGGCTAACCGGAGTGTTTCGCTTTTTACATACCTTTGCATCTTGCCCCTGTTACATCCAAAAGCAATTTCGTCGGTGCCAGTATTGGCTTGTAAATGTTGCACGTGGAAACTCGATTCGATATCAAAAAGATATCGAAGGCATGTGTCGATAGAAGAATACACATAGTATGTATACATACATGTGTATATGTTTCTAAATATGTGTGTGTGTGTGTGTGTGTGTGTGTGTGTGTGTGTGTGTATTGTGTGTGTGTATATATATATATATATACATAGTCGGTGATCTTAGGAAACCTCGTAAACTTGATACTTGATATATCATTCGAGAGATCGAGCGATAGAACATGGTACAATTTTGTACAGGTGGAACAATAAACATAACTACAATAACACATATGATATAATTAGCTGCATATATATATTCGGTATAATATTTTGGCTTGAATTAACGATATTGCGAGGTTACGGGAGCAACCGCGATATGCTAATTTCAGTAATTCATACCAGCATTATTTACAATAATTACATAACGTATGTAAATGAAAACTTGCACGCGCGCGTATTTTCTTAAATTTTATTATTGTAAAAACTCAAGATTATTTTCTCTGTCAGATTAATAATATATTGTCTGCAATATCATATCTACATGTTATGTTATCAAACTTCAATTTCTCCATTATTAATTTAGACCACAAAATTATTCATCCGTAATAAATAAATCGGAAGAGAGAGTTCGCTTAATAATTATTGAGAAATAGTGCTGTATATGAATGAAATACGAACTACTGTCGGGACTATATATGCTTATGCATTAAAGCTTACGATGTCTTTTTTTATAAACAGAGTTGGGTAAAAGACAGAAAGAGAATAGAACATTCATACTGTATGTTATTTGTATTCGTATAATTTGAAATTATAATACGATCAATAAAATGGTAAGTATTCGTCTTACATACGAGAAATGATATAATATATTACCCATCTCTACTATGTAAAATAGATGTACTTTTTAGCTAGTTGCAAAGAATGCGTTAATTTTCTCACGGACGAAAGTGCTTTATGGCAGTCGTGATTGTATTATGGTAATTGTGTGGAGAATGTTTATAGTACGCATGTCTAATAGATCACATAATTAACGGTGAGAAATAATAGAAACTTTATGTAGCATTATTTCGATTATCTTGTACCGAATTTCGAGAGATATTACTAGAAACTGAGAAAATAAAAATTACTTTAATTTTTTTGTTGAAAAAATTTGAAACGATGTTTGGTGTTACAATGGTATTCGTGAAATTAATAAGATATTATATTACATTAAGCAATTATGTTATGTACCTCCTTGTATATAATTAATTATCTTTCTAACATAATTTTCAATCCATTGATATGCAATTGCACTCTTACTAGCAACGTATTTTTTATTTTTTGTACACCAGACATTTATAAAGCAAGACAGACTCGCTTTCCCGCTCGACACGTGATTATAGGAGATTGTCGAGATTTAGTTATGTTGCAAAAAAATTGTGGTTCATGGCAGTGAAGTGAAATATGATACTTATCGTAGTTGTTGTCCAGAAAAGTACACCTCGACCATCTTGCTTTCTGCACAAAATGCACACGTAAGAAAGTGCGCACTTGCACACACAGGCACACACGCCATCGCTAAAAACGACACTACTACAAAAAAAAAGTCTGGAATATTTGAAAAGAGATCAAGGATGGCTTCGGGCAAGCGCAGCGAATGCATTTCAACTCCGCTTTTAATGCCCCGCGTTCTTTTTGCTTCAAGAACAATTTCTGAACTTGACAACTTGAAGTCTCAGAATTGAGAACGACTATCTTAATTTAAAAGATCGCTAAAAACTCTAGTCTGAAATTTTCAAATTAACTCTGTTGTTTGTTTCTTTATATTATATTTTCCTTTCCATCATTTATTAAGTAAATAGAAAAAACTTATACAGTACCGGTCAAAATTATATCATCTTTCGATTTTTTTAGCATGACTTTTAGCAAAGTGAATCGAATGCACTAAAATTTATACAGTAGTCACTTGGTAGCAGGTGTATCTTGTATGTAAAGTTTAATGAGATGTACACCGTGATTTTTTAATTTTTTACTAATTTTCCCAAAATCCCATTATTGTACTTTCTTTAATTTTTATGATACAGCCGTAGTTTTTATCGTCATGACCTATTGCATATGATAGCATATGATCTGTACGGACAGATCAGATTATTCTGAAGTCGATATTTTTTCAGCAATGTTCGGCGTCGTACGATGTGAGTTGCTGCGAGATATGCGAAGGATATAGCGATTCATGAGAAAAGTAGTGTAATGTAATCGCTACTCTTCTTCTCCTTAACGTAGCTTTGCTAGATCTTTCAACACTTAAAAAACTTGCTCTGTTGATTTGAAGATGCCAAATTGCTGGGCGAGCTTTTTGTACATCCATTTTTGTTTGTGTCTCTTTACGATGACTTTCTGTTGTCGTTCGTCTATATCTTGAACATTATGAGTTTTTGTCGTAATGTAAAACGGTAAATCTAACTATTAAAGATAGGTCATGATGGTAAAAACTACGGCCGTATCATGAAAATTAAAGAAAGTACAATAATGCGATTTTGGGAAAATTAGTAAAAAATTAAAAAATCACAGTGAACATTGTCAAATCTCATTATACTTTACGTACAAAGTACACCAAGTATCTACTGTATAAATTTGAGCGCATTCGATTCACTTTGCCAAAAGTTATGCTCAAAAAATTAAAAGGTGATATAATTTTGACGGGTACTGTATATAAAATATATTTTAAAAAATTTTGACAGTTATAATTTTATATTAAAAAAAATATTATTATTATTATAAAATCACATCTTATTCTGGTATTAGGGCTATTTCATATATTTTTACTTATTATTTAAGCCTAATTTTTTAAATTAGATTAACTTAAACTTCAGTGATAAAATAAAACAATATGAACTTATTTTTTAGTATTTTCAATATATACACTATTATATCACGATAGAAAATAACGCATTCATAAATTTACGGAAATGGAGGGTAAATCGGCTCGAGGTTAAGAGATCCTACTTTAAAAGAAAATACAGTTATTAGGAATAAAAGAATAAGTTTTCTGATCAACAAGACTAATAGACTTTGTTGAAGTACAATAAAACTGAAATAAACTCTGAACTGAATCAATGAGAGAATATCTGATTGTAAATCCGATTTGCTCACTAATTCCTTTCATCCGCTGTGCTTTAATTTAATGATCCACAAAAATCTCTCTAAATGGATTGGCAAAAATAAAAAACCAGTAAGTATCATAATGTTTCCAATTTTTTTTAAATTAATCATATGTATATCCATATTTCGAATTTAAAAAAATTGTGTCAAGATACTCATGTGAACATTTTTCCACACATATAACATTTTCGGTTAACTTTGAAATGAGTCACATATTTAATAATAGTTTATAGAAAAATTTTAGATGACTATTTTATCAGAGAAAGTATAATTTGAAATAGCGTAGTATATTGTAAACGCTGTATCGATTTCGGCTTTCGGTCATTAATCTGCAACTGTTTGCAATGCCAGTAAAACGGTCTGTCGCTCATATTGTATATATGCTTAAGGAGATATACACATATCACGCAGCTATAGTTGTTTAGTGAGTTTTTTGTACATATCGCACATAGAGTAAAGCGGAGTAAAAGGTCACGTACCATTGCTCGTCTATCGCATCGAAAGAGATATTCCGGTGAGGAAAGTTAGCTCGCTTTCGCACAAATATCTTTCTCCGAAAAACCGAGTTCGCATTATATCATTGCATGTCAAGCGAGATATCACTTTGAAAGTTGCTTGAAAATCAGCCACCAAAACCATCCTCAATTGAGAGAGAACACGAGTTCTTAATAACAATACCGATCAAACAATGAAAGAGGGATGAAACGTGGGAAATATATCGCCACCGGGATAAATTTCAATTGGTTTTCTGTTTAGTTTGCTAATTTTTTTTTTGTTACAAAAGTTACAAAGTTTTGCGTTTGATCACAGGCTCTAAGAAAACAAATTTATACACGGATATTCGCAATTTACAATCATGAGCTAAAAGCTGCGAAGTTATGAACATGCAAATATCCTCGTGTAAATTTGTCCAACGTGTATTAAACTTTAACGTGCAGCTAACAATACAAAATGTATATTGACTAATAGAAAATTAATAAAAAAAAAACTTAATATAAAATTAAGAAAATTAATATTAGATGAATGTTATAAATATAGTATGGATATAAAAAGCTATAATAGCTCTCTACGTAGATCTTAACTTGCATGATTATGGAATGCAAAATGTAGACATTGCATGCATTATGCTTCTTGCACTTTATCTAATTCAACTCGGGTATCCCTCTGGAGTGCCTTTCTTTTATTTCCTTACTTTTATAAAATATAATTTTTATATATTATAATTTTAATCCAATTCTAACAAATCGAATAATTATTTTGAAATAAAGTG